GAGTCTCCGTTGGCACACTCCTCATGAGTAATCCCGGGGGGCAGGTCCTTCCCATAGAGGGGGCCTTCTACAAGTACTTTTCAACAAAGGGTTGCCTCGCACTGCTGGTCTGTACTGGCAGTGAGTCACCAAGACAACCAGCCATGAAATAAAGTCAGACAGCTGTGGGGCTTCTGAAGATGAAGAAAGCACCTGGGTCAATTTCTTCTTTAACCACAATCTGATCTTTCATGAAGAAAGAATCCTTACGCACATTCTTATTGTTCATTTGCTCAGACTACTGAAAATCACTTGAGATTTGGCTGCATAAGCCTATCTTTCTCAATCCAAATCCTCCTATATTCCCCTACCCCGTATCCACCCATCTCTTCCCAGATTGATTTACGGTTGCATGTCCCATAGGCATGCGGCCAATGGATTGTGAGGACAATGCTGTTTGTCCCTCTGGGAACCTCAAATGCCCGGGCTGAGCTGTAGTTCTGATGTCCCGGGGTGGTGTATCCTAAGGCCTGCTGACCACAGTACTTGGACCACAAGTGATGCTCAGAACACAAGAGTCAAGGCTCCTCACACTTACGTGCTCGTCGGAGGCATAGAGGACTTCCATTAATCGCTGCACAAGGTTGTCGTTTTCCTGCCCCTGTTCTTGGCAGAGTAGCTCAATCTCTCTCAACTTTCCGAAGTAGAAATCTCTTTCCTTTTCCACGCCTTCAAGGGCAAGTTTTAACGAATGTACCTGTAAGGGGGTGAGGGGGGAGAAGCAAAACCGCCAAATACAGTATAAGAAACAAGTAACCAACTATGCCTGTGCAGAAAGACCCAAAACATGAACAGACAGATGTTCGAAAAGTAACCAACGTGCACGACTGAGGGAGGAACAAGGGGCTGCTGTTTGCAGCTTGAGCCTGGGCCAAATTGTCCAACCTCACCAGCCACTAGTCATTCCCCCCAGGCAACTGAGGGTTTATGCACCAGGGTCAGAGGGACCATTCTGCTGGATGCAGTTCCAGCAGGCTGAGTAAGCTTTCTGCTCCTGCTCATACTGGCCAGACACACCTTCCTCTGGGCCTGTCTGTCCTCTGCTGGGAGAGGAGGGACGACGGAAAGGTGAGGCTGGCACTGTGGTTACTTCAGATGTATTCTGAGGACGCTGTCGCTCCATGTCACCTGCACTGAGTCACCCTTAGTTTGGACCCTTCATAAACGTTCCTGAGCCACACAGGACAAATGTGTTCTACCTCGAAACTGGATCCTGCCTGCACAGGAAAACCTGGCTGAGAAGCTCGCTCTCAACTCCTCTAGTGTGGCACTGTGGAGGATTTTCACGGGCGAGGTGGGAAAGATGGGAGTTCCATTTCCTCAGCAAAATGGCCCTTCCTGGCCCTTGATGTTGGTTCAAGGACCTTCCAGGGTTGTGCAGCCTCTCGCAGTGGTTACAGAGGTAGTGTAGCGAAGGGAGGGAGGCAGAGCTGTCACCCAGCTGCGGGAAGAGTGAAGGGGAGTAAACAGATCTGGGCTCAGCTCCCAGGCAGCTACACTTGGGCCCAGAAAATCACCCGTTCCTGCTCGCTGAGAATCCCTCATTTTTTTACCCTTTATGCATTTTATATCTATGCAGAGAATATTCTTTAGATGGCAAGTTAAGTCCTTCATGGTCCTCTGCAGGTGAAACCTCTTTTAGTACATGAAAAACCTCCCTTAACAGAATTTCCAAAAATTACTTTTGGGATGAAAATTTTTCTCCCTTTTCTAATAATCTGGGCCTTTGTACATGCTGTTTACCTGTGAAATTACTGACTCAAACATATACCAAGCATATGCAGTGCCCACCCCTTCTTGCACATCTGGCAAACTCCTATCCATCCTGTGAGACCCAGGGACACAGTCCCTCAGATTCACCTCACTGACACCCTCCTGGAACTGCTTGCCAAGCAGCAGAGCACCAGTTCGTTAACAGTTAACTCTGATTTCTCATTGTACCATTACTTGGATATTGGTAAAAACTGAAGGCAACTAGCAGCCTGACTTCCAGGAAAAAGAAAACTCCCTTTGTTCTCGAAATCCTTACTTGCTTTAACACAAACCAGCCCCCTCTCCAGGCTTGGCCACAGAAGCCATCTGAAGCCTGAACTGGTGCCGGCAGACGGATCTGCGGCAGCTTAGGTGTCTGCCAGCTCCCCCTGCACAGGCAAGAAGGGTCTCTGGACACATTTGAACAAAAAAACTAGGTCTGTCTGTCTCTCAAGCAAAGAGCAGAGGCTTTTGTAGAGATACCCAGCCCAAGTTGGTCTTTGGTGGTATTCCAGACCATTAGGTAATAGATGTGCAGCTATAAACATTCCCTAGTAAAAACCAACAGGAGCTAAATTACATGATGAAAGACCAATGGCAACCGAATTCCATGCTCACAGTCCCACTCATAAAGACCAATGCCTCCCTGCTTCCTCACGTCACAGCAGAAGCCTATGTAGTGGAGGGGACGCTGGGGATGGAGCCTCGAGAAAAGTCGAAGGGCTGAGGAGACGTCTTCTCCACTTCTCCCCACCGCCTGCACGAAGCAGCATCCCCTGAACACAGCAGGGCCTCCACCCCACTGCCTGTTTGCTAGCTCACTCTCCAGAAACTGTCCCTAATTATTTCAGCGATGTCTTTTTCTCCCCCGTGTCTTTTGGTTCATTTCTAGCACTGGAATTGTCTAGTGCAGGGTACTTTACAGTATGTCATGGGAGACTGCCTGAATCAAGGCATGAGGCCAAAGAAATGCGAATTCTTAGTTTATGGGACTTGTCATTTTCTCTATTACTACTGTAATTCACGCTTCAGCCTCGGCGTTTCCACTCAGCCATTCCTGTCCTAGTGCCCTTGGTTCTAACCCAGAGGTGCCTGTGTGGCTCCCCACCAGTTTCCAGGGGGCACCTTGCAGGCTTCAAGGACAGAACATAGAGGGAGCAAAAAGAGCTGACCATGGAGATGGAGCCAGAGTAAGAGCTCACGAAGCAGTAGTTGAATGAAGGCTCACAGTTTAGGGTGTGTGTGACCTTCCCTCTGAGGGACGGGCTGGGGGGAGGCGGGAGTGAAGCCTTTGGAAGCAGGGAAGGAATTGCAATGAGGAGGAGGAAGAGTCCTCCACTCTGTTCTGTCTTCTCTAGGGTGGCACTGTGGATGGCAGGACAAGGTCTGGGTCCCCTGGGGATGTGGGGTTCTTTGTGTAACTGGAGAGGAAGTGGGGCTGGCTGGCTATGGCTGTAAGGGAGAGGTGGCAGGAACGACCTGGAGGTTTCCATGTGGTCACACTTTGGGTTGGAGGGTTGGGAACCTAGGTGTGGTAGAGGGTACTAGGGAGGAGAGAAATCATGAAGAAACATGAGGTAATAAAGATATCAGAAGAATGGGAGTTCCTAAGGTTACAAGTTATGGATCTAAAGTGTCACAGACCCACCCCTGATGCTCTTTCCATCTACCCCATTTGGCCCGAGGCTCATTATGGCCTCTCACCTGAGAAGGCGCAGTACTGGGAACTCTACATGGGCTCCAGCTGAGACAGCAGGTAATGAGAGCATTCCAGTTTCTAAATCAAAGTCCTACCCACCAATGACTGAAGGTTTCACCTTTTCCATTAAAGTGATCAGAATTGTAAAGAAACACCCTAGTTAGCAACTGCCTGCTTTTAAACTAGGTTCTTAATTGCAAATATGCAATTATCTTAAAAACCATTTCCAGACTCTTGCTGGCTCAGCAAGAATCAGATTAATCACTGGGTATGGCCCAGTGAGTGGCTGGGAACAGCCTCAGGACCTGAGTAAAGACTCTTCTCCTAGTGGTGGGAACTGCCAGGAAAAAAGATCCTCCTCCTAACTCAGGTCAGGGTAGATGGCTTTTGCAGTGGGCCTCTCCCTACCAATTATTTTATACTTTAAAAACTATAAACACTTAAACTTGAGAACTCCCAATTTCCTGATCTCATCTCAGCCCTAGGGAAGTGACCATCTAAATGCTGCTTAATATGGGCCAAATATTTTGTTTGAAATAAAGTTCTAACCCCTACCTAAAAAAAAACTACCTCTAGTAGTTTTTGTGTGTGACTTTGTTAGCGAGAAAGCATACCTAAGCTTTTATACAGGAAATTCAAAGGCAGTGGAGCTAGATTTAGAGTAATCGTGAGGAATAATAGAAAGTTCTACTTAAAAGACACTGTGAGCTTTCTGATCACCCCAATATTGGGTTCAGTGCTGCTGGTGTAACAAATTTTGACCATTGTGGGAAGTGTCAGGTTTTTTGCTTTTGACTTTGTAAGCCCCTGCCCTGCACAACTGCTGTCTGTAAGTTCTATGGTGGAAGGGAAGGTCTCTATCTTGCCTCCGTTATAGGATTAGCATCAAGCACAGTGTCTGTCACATAGAACAAGTCTAACAACTAGCTGCTGAAGAAAAAGGGAGACTAACCCTAAGCCTTCAACACCATCTAGACTGACCATAAGTGGGCTGACAGCCACGGCCTAGACTGGAGCTCATGACAGGCACTCGTGTGGGGAGGGCTGACTCATTTGTCCTTCTGTTGTAACATAGCTTTGAGATTTGTGACTGACATCTTTAATTGGTAATGGGCCACCAATTGTTATCTGCTGGAATAATTCCTTTGATTCTTGCTTGCAACCACAGATTCTGGCTCACCTTCCCTCCCATAATTATCCCGGGCCTACAAGGGGTCTGCCCCCTCTCCCCTATACCTGTCACTGCTCCCAGACCCAGGGCCAGCGATGAGTTACCTGTTCATTAAGCTGTAGGACCTGTGTTTCCAAATCTTTATCAGATTTGGATGCTGAGCTGCTGGATGAAGCCCTTTTGGCTGATGAGGGACGAGAAGGTGTGGATCCTGGTTTAGATGCTGGACTTGATTTAGCTGCACCTGAAAGTAACCAGAATGAATAATGGCAACATTTAAAATGCTTTAGACATATAGCAAGTGGATGATACAGAGGGAGTTTGTTAAAATGTGTAAGAGGTACGGCCAGCAATCCCGTCCCGTAAAAGAAGTAGCACAAATACATGGAGAAAGAGCGCGCACGATAAAAGGCTAGTGTCATCCCGGGCAGTTTAACCTTTCTGAGCACTGCTTTTCTCTCTCTCAAGTAACATGAGATTAATGCAGTTGTCCTTTCTCCCTCTAGAGAGATAAGAGTGACAGATACAAAAGGGATTTTAAGGAAAGGTTTTTATTTTAGATCAGCTTAAAGTAGCAGCATAGTTGAGTTTCTAACAACCAAGAAAAAAGATCTTATAATAGATTAATACTTTAGAAGAAATATTAATACAAATGTATGTTTTTCTTTTTTAATGTATTTCCTGGCTTTAGTCACTGAAAGACTCTGGGAACAAGGATATCTCTGTAACAGCGAGCACTCCTGGTGCCCAAATTTTTTCTGCAATAAAAGGGCTACTTAAGAAATGGCTGATTCCAGGGGTGGGGCAGGTGAGCCTGGGACATCTTGTGTCAAAAGCAAGGATTAGTGTCACAGGGTGCAGGGGCCAGGTTGAAGGGGCTCCCAACTAGCCACACTTGGGACAGTTGCATACCAAAAAGAAAAATGGCTGTAATGTATTGATTAAATAAAAGTCTATTCCATATTATTGGGGTGGGAGGAGAGGAAGGAACAGATATAAAGATCTTATAGAACACTGACAGAAGGAATGTTAGAACTATAAAAATCACAATTTTGCAACACTGATTCAGGAAAGGCTCACCGATGGACTCAAACTATAAGTGAAATGTTTTTGGGGAATAAATTCACATGTGTCAAGGTATTACCTGATAAATTACTATACTGGGAAAAATATGTCTTTACAATGGAGAGAGCTAGGGATCAGGACTCTAACCAAGTGATTCAACAGCATTGTTAATAAAGCTATAAATTGAAAGAAAAGAAAAAAGGCCACTGATTTCAGGTAAGACCTCACCTACCTGGAGCTTGGCTCTTGTTAAGCTCTCACTATCTAGAATGGGTGAGGAATGTCCGGTCCAAGGGCTGTATACACTCCGTGAAATCATTTGGTCTGGCCCTGCTAAGGCAGCTGCAGGCGGGACTTGAAATTCAATAAATCTAAGAGCTCTTTTCATATCTAAGTTGACAATTTTGTATGGCCTGTGAATGATGTTATAAATATCCAAATGGCCCTTAGCAGAAAAAAGGTTCCCCACCCCTGATAGAACATGGCACAGACACAGGAAATGACCTTAGCAGCCAAAACAGAAGGTACAAGGTAATGGAATGAAATTTATACATTTCATGAATTAATAAATTCAGGGTCCTTACTGGGGGCCCACCCATCCCCTTTTACTCTGAACACAGTTCTGTAGAGGTGCTCCTCCTGTGTGCTCCCATCGGCCTAATTCTCCACCGCAGGCCCCATACTCTGCTTTCTCTAGAGGCTGTGGGAGGGGCAAGGGGCATGTCATAGTCAGCTCTGCAACACTGGTGCTGAACACAATGCTTGGCTGAACATATATTTGTTGAAGGAACAAATGTTTAATTAAATACATGAACAAGTAAATAAAACCTGGTTAGATGGTTTACAGATTTATAGTTTATCAGTACCAACAGATTAGAAAGGAGGAAGGGTTAGAAAGGCTAAGTGTGCTGACAGTAGTTAAAAAATTTCAAACTCTCTTAATTACAAAGGAAACAGGAAGACTATAAAATTTAGATTTGCAAGTCTTCATGGGGCCGGGAGTCATTAGTTATAGATGCACTCTCAAGAAGCGTTGACAGCATCAGACCCTCATAGGTTTCAAAGTGACAAATGCCTAATAGATTTTAAAGTGAGAGCAATTAAATTGGGAATGACTTAAGACAGTTTTGAGTATTCAAAGGGTAACTAACTCTTCAGTGACCTGGAACTCTCTCACCATGCGAGAGAACATCCCAGGGATTCGAGGGAGCTGGCATTCTGCTTTATTTGTGACTCACATACAGTGGCAAGGATCCTTCATCTCTGTCAAAGCCATACAGAGCACTCCCGGAACACTATGTCCATGGCCCATCGGCCAGGTTCTCTAAGCAAAGGTCAAGCCAACAGAGAAAGACGACAGAGTGGAGAGCAGCAGGAGAGGCAGGGTGAGAACACGCTGATCTGGCAAAGAGCCTTCTCTGAGGGAAGCCACCAGCCAGCTGAGCTGGGGAAGCAGCTTTTGAAAAATCAAGTTACTTCAGACCTTTTAATAAGCAATATGTCCTATTTTAATATAAAGAACGCCTAATAGAAAGCAGATCAAAGACTGTCTACGATCAATATGTCTTACTTACTAAAGACATATTAATGAAGTGCCTACCATGAGCTGTATAGTAGGGATACCTGTCCTCCAGGAGCTCATAGGCTCATAGGAGTGAAAGTCAGGGTCACGTTCAATGTTCTCAGGAACAAGGCAGTGTTCTAGATGGACTACATGACCACAGAGTGCGATTCAGGCTATATTCTGTCCACCTGAACCACCTGCCTCCCATCCTTTGAATGACTAACTCTACCATCTTTCAGGTCTCAGCTTGGATGTCACTGCTCTGGAAGGCATAGCATCTCGAACACCTTCCACATAGCACCTGTCAGCTCTAACGGTATACAGTGCTGCCCCCTTAGCCATGCTTTTGCTTGCTGCAGTTTCAGTTACCCATGGTCAATTGCCATCTGAAATATTAAATGGAAAATTCCAGAAATAATTCATGTTTTAAATTGCATGCCGACTGAGTAGCATGATGAAATCTTGTACCATTCCACTCTGTGTCATCCCTTTGTCCAGTGTCTCCAGGCTGTATACACTATCCACCCATTAGTCACTTAGTAGGCACCTTGGTTATCAAATAGCACGGCAGTTGATCTATGTTCAAGTAACCCTTATTTTACTTAACAATGCCACAGTCACATAGCTTTTATTACAGTATATTGTTCTAATTGTTCTATTTTATATTTACTGTAATTTAGAAATTAAACAGTACATCTAGGGTGCAGCACTATCTGTGGTTTCAGGCATCCACTGGGGTTCTTGGAATGTATCCCCCAGATAAAAGGGACTACTGTAGTTAGTTAATGCCTACCTCTCCTGTTAGACAAACTCTACGAGGCAGAAGCTGCATCTGCTTTGTTTACCACTTTATGTTCCCATGCAAATCACAGTGCCTGACCCAGAGGAGACACTCAAAAGTTTTTATAATTCATTAAACAACTCCTAAGAGAGGCATCTATCCACGGTTAAGCTACCAGGGAGAGCTCGAGACGCTGATGCCAACACCAAATAACAGCCAGGAAGAGCCAGCACTACACAAAGGAAACCAAACAAAAATCACCAGCCTCTCAGAAAGAGATCTCTTACTTGGTTCCCTTTCAAGGTCACCTTCCACTCTTACTTTGGCCCTTTATCTGTGGAATCAGGTCAATTCAGTCAGCAAATGGTTAACTCTGAGCAGGGAGGAGCAAGGTGGTTTGAGCCAGGCTGGCCAAGTCTCTGCCAGGTTCACTGGCCTCTTCTGAAGGAAGCAGCCCTGCAGAGGGGGACTTCCCTTGGGAGCACGTGACCCAGCCCCGACCCCAACCTGGGGCAGTCCTCCCTAAGCAGGCCAGCAACGATGATGTGGCTGGTTCCTCAGAACTCTCATATATTTTCTGCCTTATTCAGCCTCATGTAACCTGTAAGAAAAACATGGAAGGAATAGAAGCTGGCTACTTGTAAAACAGGGCTACCGCTAATTATATTTTCAGGACATCATCAAACGCAGCTTGGAAAAAAGCTGAAATGTTTGATGTGAAGTAAAAGAAGAGGTCATGGCAAGCCAAAACCCTGTGCAAAGCCAAGTTATCAGGGAAGGGAAACGATAAATAAGCAGAGGAAGCTGGCTGGGAGAGAAACACAGGGCCACAGGTGACACACTCGCTGTGCCTTGAGGCAGAGGCCACAGCTGCTGCACTTACTGCAGTGACCGCTGTCCCAGTTCCAAACACACGCAGCCTCACAGAACACCTGTTTTTTTCTTGAAGGAACAACATGCCTTGCTACCGACAAGCCCAATTTAAAGATGCATGTGGGGGTCTGTTTTACAAAACTGGTCAATCTCAGCTTCAAATGGCACCTGTGTTTCATGCAGGCTGTGAAAGTTGGGGCTCAGAGCACACATGAGGCAGCTGTGGGTCACCCTGAGATGGGGAAGGTGAAGGCAATAAGCAAAAGACTTGGCAGCCCCTGCTGTGGGCGGGACAGGGCTGGTGGAGGAATCAGATTATCTTCTGCTCCACCCTGGACAGTCCCTAAGTGGGGGTGCAGAGCAGGCTGAAGAAAGGAATGGAAAACAAATCTGGAAAATTTAATAATATATTCATAAGTAATTAGTATTTCAAATTTAAAATGAGAAAGGTTTTGAAATTCTGATGAAGCTGTTTGGAAAGAACCGGATAATGTGTGTGTGTGGGGGGGGGAGTAAACATCTGAGGACTGAGGACATGAGAGATTAGCACTAGTTAACTGCACATTTATGCCTTCTAATGAATAAATGCAAAGAAATTAACAGAAAAGACATGGGGTAAATCTTAGTATCTTCAGAAGTTTAGAGTTTTATAAAACACGCAATTAAGGGTTAAACTAAAAAGCTCATTTTCAAAAGAATGTAAAGTGAGCTCCTCACATCATCACAAACTGTAATTTGATATGGAAGTAATTTATCCCTCACGGCTATCACATGATCAACCTGCATTAAGAAATACTAAATACTAAACTTATAAAAATAAAGATGAAATCATTTCTTCATTATGTTTAATGATTTCATGGTTTGGTTTTTAGAACATAATAGTAGAAAGTATCTTGCAATATTTACCCTCATCGGACGGTTAAGAACTATGTTTTTGTTTATTGGCTTTAGAAATCTTACT